TTCCTGCGTCCTTAAGCCCTGGCGGCATGTTAGACCGCATGCGCAGTGTATATATTTACTTTCCTATTCCGCTTCCTGGAACTAAAAACAGGAAGAAAATTATCCCCTCCCCCAATGGAAGTTGGAGTCCAAGGTCACGTAAGTCCAGGTCTCTGTGAAAATAAACTCCAACCTGATTTTGTGGACTTCTTCTATTCAATCATATTTGTGTTTTAAAACCACTCAGCTGTTCCCATGTACTGTTATTCTTAATCACAAGAATTTGTACTCCCCAAATTGCAGCTATTTTATTCTTAGCATTTCAACAGAGGGAAGGGGCAAGGTGTACAGAGCCCCTCTCATCTGGAGCCCTGGACAGAGCCTGAGCTGCCTGTCTGCTAGGCTCATGCTGGCAATGCTCGGGCTCTGCTCGCAGGGCTCGTTGCGATGAGTCTTGGGCGTGTTCGACACCGTGCTATCCAGACCCCTTGCCCGTGCAGTAGCTCCCTGTCCCCTATGGCAGGCCTGTGGACGTGGTGGCAGAGGTTAACAGAGCTGACAGCTGGAGAGCCCCCAGAGGCCATCTCAGCCAAAGCCCACGTGCTGTAGGTAGGAACACTGAGGCTCAGAGAGGGCAAACAACTTGATCGGGGCCACTCAGGTAGCTTTTGGCCAAACTGGGACATGAGTTAACCTCTCCTTACTCTTAGTCCAGGGATCTTTGAGGATCTTTCTGACTCTGACAACAGCAATGAAATATGTAAGATATTACCATTGCATTCATCAAGATGGTTATCTGAAAAATTAATCATCTCTTCAGTTAACTTTTTGAGGTAAGGACCTTAATATTTATGTTATGCTGTTTAACCTAAACATACACTGCTTGAGCATCTATATGCCACGTAAAATGTTAGCCTCTGGAAGGAATACACATGCAGACACACACACATATGTGCACACCTGCGGCTCCTCTTGCCTTCACTATGAAGCCTTTCCCAAAAGCCTCACACAATGGATTCCTTCTGACACGCCTCTGCACGTTCCCCTCTCAAGCACCTCAAGCAGAGTGAGCTCTTCTCTGGGAGTATCTTGACTTTTCATCCTTTCTAGATCCCAGTGACTTGTACATAATGACTACTCGGTAGAAGTTAGTAGAACAAAATGCAGGGCATCCACCAAACAGACCCAGTCATTTACTAATTGTGTGGCCTTGAACAAGTCACTTGACCTCTTTGTGTCTCCAAAGGAGCATGGTGGTAAACCCTGCCTCTTTAGTTTGTAGCACACAAAGACTGAGTGTGGAAACTGAGCTCTTGGCACACTGTAAGCCCTTGGTGAATCTTGGTATGATTCTTCTTATTACTATTAATTCAAACACAGAAACTTCAGACACTAATAATAATATCTCATATTCACCAGTTACTACATGCTAGGCACTGGAGATACAAAGTTGAGTAAGACAAGGCTTGGGACAACATCCTAGTTACTACAAAGAAGAGCCAGCCAGACAGCTCTGTGTAAAGAGAGTCTGGAATCCAGACCTTCTTCTGCTCCTCAGCTGGTGGTGCACCCAGCTTGTGTGTCCAAGTCCAGCAAAGTGATTCTCCCCACAAGTTGTTTTGGATTCATTAGAGTCCTAGCCATGAACCATGGTATGGATAATATGGTGGAGAAGCAATCACTGGTGGAAAATTGGGCCTTATCTGGGGCGCTTGGGTGGCTCAGTTGGTTGAGCATTCAACTCTTGATTTTTGGCTCAGGTCATGATCTCAAGAGTCAGAAGATTTGATCCTCCTGTTGGGCTCCACGCTCAGCGGGAGTCTGCTTGAGATTCTCTCCCTCTCCCTCAGCCCCCCTCCACCCCACTCCTCTCAAGTAAGTAAATAAATTTAAAAAAAAAGAAAAAGAGGGGTGCCTGGGTGGCTCAGTCAGTTGAGTGTCCGACTCTTGGTTTCAGCTCAGGTCATGATCTCAGGGCCGTGGGATTGAGCCCTGCATCAGGCTCTGTGGTCAGCATGGAATCTGTTTGAGATTCTCTCTCTCCCTCTGCCCCTCCTCCCATTCATGCTCTAAATAAATAAGTAAATAAATAAAATCTTAAAAAAAAGAAAAAGAAAATTCAGCCTTTTCTGATTTTTCTGGGTCTGACTTTGAAGTCTTCAGCTCACATTAATAAATATCCACGCTGTTGTTAGAGATTACATAGAATGCTCTGTTGCTTGTGAAACCTATTCTCTGTCAAATGCTGAAAAGATAACACATCATTACTTACTTAGTCCTTTCTCCATTAACCATGTTAGTCAACTCTACAGTAACAGTCAACCTATCTGGTGTAGCAGAATGTGCACTTTGGAACTGGTTACCAGCATTCGCTCACCACTGCCTAATGGGAAGATGAGCCCCTGCTTTATTTCTCTCTCGGGGAGGATTGAGGGAGCCCAGAGATGAAGGAGTTTCAGACCCATCTCATGCGTGTGCGTGCATGCAAGTGTGTGCATGTCTGTGTGTGTGTGTGAGGTTTTTGTTGTTAATGGAGGAGTGATGCTTGGTGTTCAGCATGGGTACTCAGCACTGGAGCCTGTTGTAAAAGCTTTAGCAGCACTGTGCAGCAGGTGCTCATCCTACCTGAAGAATAGGCAGACTTAGTACAGCTGGATAAAGGTGCATGGGGGTTCTTATCTTGGGAATAGCAAGAACATAAAAATAGATTAATATCCTTCAAGTGTGAATGAAAAGGATGACAATGGAAAATCTGCTGTGAGCTTTCCACACTTTACAGGTCTAGCTCATTTTGAGAAGTGAAAGAGCTTGCTCCAACGTTCCTTGCTGAAGATAGCCTTTCAGGAAATTATATTGCTTTCAACTGCATCTTCCCTACTTTAATCAAATGCATCAGTGGTAACACAGAATCGGCTTGCCATTTCATGAAATCTCACGTTTCCAATGCAGAGAATCAGTTGTAATTGAAAATGCAAACGTGGTCACAGTTCTATGTGGCCTGGCCAGCAGGGTGGTGTGCTTGGATGGTGATTCAAGATAATCCCATTATGCCACAGAGTAAATTTGAGAAGGGAGTTCATCCTTCCAGGTGTCTGAAACACCTTTTCATAAACCCAGAGACACACCTCTAAAGCCAGTGGTGAAAAGGGATGTGATGAAGCCTCTCATTGATGGAGGTGTACTACCTAGTTGCTGATAAGAGACAACATTTCTTGATCCCAGGCCGGGGTCTTACTGCCCCTTGGTTAGCTCTGGCTAAATAGGACCTGTATGTTTTACATGGGACAGATTTTGGAGAAGACCAGCCTTCGTCGGAAAAAGAAAACACCTAACATGTAAAAGAAATCATTCAGTAATTGGAATTGGGCTTTAAACTGTTGTCACGGAGAGTTACTTTGGGCCAGTTTTGATGAATGCATAAGTAGCATACAAACGTTATCAACTGCATACAAATGCACAACTCAAAAACACTTGAAAATAGTCTCTCTCTTAAGTAGGTTAAGCATCCCCTCTAAATCTTGTATGCATTTTTAATGTCCTTAGCGCCTCCTTTTAAATAGTGCTAGGTAGACTCCAATCTGTGTCAGCCCTTGTCTGAATCATACTTACACATTCTGCTTCAGCGCTGCCACTGTGAATGAATCCGTCAAGTATCTCCCTGCATTACAGCTCTTCATACATCAAAGGCTCTTTTTGAACTGGGTAATTATAGAAGGGGGAAAGAAAAACATGTTTTAGTGCTACCTGAGAGTTCTTATTAATATTACCTTTGAAATGACTAATTATGTTACCCATAAAGATTGGGGAAAAGTATTATGTAACTGACTCATTAAGAAAAGGCCTTTCATCAACTTTGATCCTCTCCACTCTTCCCCAAAGCTCGCCTTTTTTTTTCCATTATTGCATTGATTTTTATGTTGAATGTTTATACACCAGAATGTCTGATGAATGCAACATAGGCTGGCCCCCTCCTGCTTCACAAACTTTGTCATCTCTGGTGCTGGGACGTTGAGCCTGTGATTTAATTACCCCTCATCTTCAGGTAAAGCATGTTGGCCACGAGCCCTAAGACTCAGTCAAGATTTGAACAGCAGCTCTTTTCAAACCGAGGGTTTGAAGGGATCAAGAAGGTGCCCCTGCTGATAATGGAGAGTGGGAACCTCAGGGGCTTCTCCTTCCTACATTGAGACTCGAACGCACGGGAACGCCGTGTGTCTGGCTGGGCGGAACAGCGCTACTGATCTCGTAGTAACCTCCTCTGTGAATGAGAACGAAATCTCCTCAGTGGCCTCATCTTTGCATGGAAAAATCAATGGCACGTGCCTAATCTTGTCAGTGTGAGGCTCCGCCAAGAGAAAGGAGTATCAGAGTATCCGGAGCGAGGGTAGTGATGGTGCTGCCCTCCCCCGGAGACGGCAGATCACATCCGAAACAGGACACCAGGAGATGGAAAAGCCCCATCAGGAGGCCCTCCTGGGAGCACCTAAGAGGGCTGACAGAATGCAGAACCCAAGCATTAGAAGAAAAGTCAAAGGTTCCCAATGAATGAATGAACAAGCTCCAAATGTCTCAGAGTAAAGGCAGCACCAGGGGATGGGATTGCTGTCTTCCACCAGCTGAAGGCTTGTCATGCGAAAGAAGAGGAGCTGAGATGTGTTCTGTGCCGTTCCAAAGTACGATCCATAGGTAGAAGCTCCTGGGAGACAGGCGTTCAGCTCACAACCAGGAGCAATGGTGTGATCAGGCTGTTTCAATGTGGGACTGGCTGCTTCAAGCATTAGTGAGCTCCCTGTCCCTGGCCCTGTGCGAGTGGATGTCGTATGGCCCCTTGCATTGTAGATAGGCTTCAAGCAGCAGGACGGGGCAGGGGAAAGGAGGGAATTGATTTAAGTTCCCCTGAAAACAATTAAGGCCAACTGAGTCCGTAAGTATTTATAAAGGGCCCTACTGTATTCAGTGCCAAGAAAGTGTCTGATTTGCTAAATGCCCCAAAATAAAGTTGCTTTGTTTTTCCTCACCAGGAGATGACCCATTCCTGGCCTGCTCCTCTCACTGCCATGCATACTTCCGGAAACTCTGAGAAGAACACACTTTCCATCCCAGGACAGGTTGATTCTCTTGCTGCCTCCATTTTCCCTTATCTTGTACCAGTCTTCCAATTGGAGTCTTAAAAATACAAATAGCCTCGGTGTTCTAGTGCCATAAAATCTAGACTTCTGCGGGGCGCCTGGGTGGCTGACCCAGTTGAGCGCCCGACCCTTGGTTTAGGCTCAGGTCATGATCTCAGGGTCATGAGATCAAGACCCGCATTGGGCTCCGTGCTCAGTGCAGAGTCTGCTTGAGATTCTTCCTCCCTTCCTCTCCCTCCCCCTCTGTTCCTCTCCCCGCTCACACTCTATCTCTAAAATAAACAAACAAATAGAATCTTTTAAAAAAATCTATACTTCCTCCTGCCCCTCAGAATGTTAATATAAATCTCATTTTTCCTGAAGGAGAGTCTTTTTTTTAAGATTTTAATTGTTTATTTGAGAGAGAGAGAGTAAGCAAGTGAGAAAGTGAGAGAGAGAGAACATGAGCAGAGGGAGAGGGAAAAGCAGACTCCCCGCTGACAGGGAACCCAATGTGGGTCCGGATCCCAGGATCCCAGGATCATGACCTGAGCCAAAGGCAGACACTTAACTGACTGAGCCACCCAGGTGCCTCCCGAAGGAGAGTCTTTAAGAGCATATATACACAGACGCTGCTGGCCTGTGTATTGTACCACCTAGAGTCCTGCCCCTGTCCAAGGTACTGTGCCCAGAACAATGAATCAGAAGAGTGAGCTCATCCCTAAAGACCAACGAGGTGATGTAACAAGAACGTCCAAGATTTTTTTTTTTTAATTAAAAAAACCTATACTCTTCACCCTAATGGGTCAGTTTTCAATTTTGCATATCACCTTCCAGTCCTTGCTCACAAGCACACAGATCTTTACATGCCAACACATAATATTGATAGAACTTCTTCTTCAGTTCTGTTGTCAAATGTTTAATTTTTTTCCTCACCTGCTCCCAGTAAGAATTTTTTTCTCAACATCAGGTTTTAAAATGCCTAAATAACCATGGCTATTTTAATAACACGCTTTAAAAGGAAAAGTAATGTCTTTCTCCCTTCCTTCCTTCCATCCAATTAACCATCCATTCATCCATCCATTTATTTATTCAGAAACCATTTTCTGAGGGCATACAATAGACTTAAAGTTGGGGATGAAGAAAAACCCTCCATGGGTTATTAGCTAAATGACAAAACAGTGCAGGAGGCGTCTGCGTAGAGAATAGAATGTTCAGAGAAGTATCTGACAGCCCCCGGGTATTGAGGAAGTGCTCAGAGAGGTGGCAGCATTTGTAGGATGCCTACAACTTTGACAGGTGGAGAAGGGCCCAAGAGAAGAACACTCCACACAGAAGAACAGGATGGGCCAAGGCACGAAGAGAGGAGGGTTCATGATGGCATGATCCATACTGGGGTGGTCTCGAGTGGCTGGTTCAGAGTTTGTGTAATGGGAAGTGGAGAGAGATCTGAACCCCAGGCAAATGAGTGCATCTTTGTAATTTAGACCTTGAGTGTCAGCCAAGGAGTTTAGACTTACTTGTGGGAGGAGAAACCCAGTCATCCTTCAGTTTCTAGAGTCATGAGTTTAACAACAACATTGGCCTACACTGCATTTAGTGATCCCCGCCCGCCTTTGAAGGGGGTCAGAAGTAAGTGAGCAGCAACCCTCTCTGTCCGCATCCGGTGTGTGTGTCATTCCCTCCTGTATGCCCACTGTCCCTCCTTAGGCCACTCTGGGCTTGGGGTCCTCCTCCCTAGCATCCCAGCCAAGGGATCCGTCCAGGCTTTTCAGGCGTTGAATCCAACACTGGTTCAGCAATTGCAGTGTTTTCAGCTGTGTTCTCCAATTTCAGAGATAATTTGCGCAAGTTGCAATTTTGACATTTACAAGTGTATACAATAGAACCGGTTGTTTAAATAGGCTTTTGTAGTAAGTGCACAATTTGGAATCAGGCACGATTTGCATTTTCTGCCAATTATCTGTGCTCCCATCGACCGCATGATAAAGGTAGAGGCAACTGGCATAAAACGGTGAAACCAGGAAGGATACACACCCACTCTTTTGTTTCACTTCGTTCCTGCCAAAATGTTGGTTTGAAAGAAGAGTACATCAACAACATAATGCCACGACGTGCCTCGCCTCATTCTACACACATAATATCTAGTAAATAATTCAATCCTCATTACAACCCAAAGAGATTGGTAATTCGACTCTCCCTAATTCACAGAGGAGGAAACTGAGGCATGGAGTAAAGTCATGTGCTCCAAATCACCCAACTAACAAATCAGGGAACCAGGTGTTGTGGCGATGTGTTTATCACACAGATTTACAGATGCCTCGGTTCCAATTCCATTTTCCAAAACGTGGCCATGTATAGTTAATACACAGGCCTGGGTGGCCCCCCTTTCCTCAGTGTTTGCCCCGGACCTAGGTGACACCACCCTCTCAGAAAGCATTCATTTCTTACATTTATGTTAGAGCTGGAGCTGCCCTGGGAGCTGCAGACCTGGCTGCTTTTAATCCTGGCTCTGCCAATCGCTAGCTCAGTGGTCCTGCTCCAGTTCTTCTGAGCCTCAGTTTCCCCATCTGCACTATCTATGTGTCTGCGCACGCACACCTGCGGGCACTATATATAATCCCCAATGGATTTTTCAGGTCAGGTAGTCAGTGAGTCTGCAGACTTACAAAAACAGACACAGTTGAAAATTCCCAACTTACTGAAGTTTACTTACCCATCCCAAATTGAAAATGCTGTGCTTTCTCATAGGGAATGGAAGGGCTCATGAGGAAGGGGGTACATTGCTAAGCAGAGGAGGGGGGGCTAATAGTGTCCTCAGGAGCAGTTCATTAAAGCCTTCGTGGAGGTAATCGAACTCCAGAGAGAGGCTGGCAAACTACAGCCCGTGGGCTTTTAGATTTTTAAATGGTTAGGATTTTCAAAAGAAGAAGAATGTGAAGAGTTATGAATATTATGAGTTACCATGAATGGTATGAAATTACATGAGTGATATGAAATTGAAATTTCAGTGTCTATAGCTCAAGCTTTCTTGGAATCCAGCCACACTGATTCATTTACGGATTAGCTGTGGCCACTCGCACTACAGCGGCAGAGTTGAGTAGTTATGACAAAGACCGTATCCTGCCCCCCCCCCCCCAAGCTTAAAATCTTTAGTACCGGGTGCCTGGGTGGCTCAGTTGGTTAAGCAACTGCCTTCGGCTCAGGTCATGATCCTGGAGTCCCACGATCAAGTCCCGCATCGGGCTCCCTGCTCGGCAGGGAGTCTGCTTCTCCCTCTGACCCTCCTCCCTCTCATGCTCTCTATCTCTCATTCTCTCTCTCTCAAATAAATAAAAATAAAAAAAAATCTTTAGTACTCAGTCCTTTACAGGAAAAGTTTGCCAACCCCTGCTCTAGAATCTAGATCCTGTGGGAGCGTCTGATTGTGGGATTATCATCAAAGTTATTATTGAAAATACTCTCACTTAAATTTGTGAAAACAATTTGACATCATTGTATTCTATTACTAAAATTACTGATGTGACATGTCTATGAATGAAATGCACAGATCAAAGTCAGGCCCTTTTTTAAAAATTTGTATTATGGGCATCACCAATTATGGCATGAACAAGGCAGATTTTTCCCACAACCAGGCTATTTCCAGTCGGGCTGGGTGTGTTTGTACGGTAACTTGGGTGATATCCAAAGGTGTTTCATTTGTTTGGAATTCTGGTTTTAAAAATCTTACCCCGCTTAACATTAAAAATGGTATTAAGGGGCACCTGGGCAGCTCACTCGATAGAGCATCTGGCTCTTGATCTCGGGGTTGTGAGTCCAAGCTCCACATTGGGTGTGGAGCCTACTTAAAAAAACAAAAAGGTATCAAGAATACATACCTCCAATGACCCAAATTCTGTAAATAATGCAATCCTCAAATTCATTTCATAAGTCACTGCCCCAATGCCTTGAACAACTGACTGTTGGGGTCTAAAGTCCAGAATACTTGGATGAAGGTTAAAACTTCAGGCCCCCTTCCCAGGACCAGTACAGTGACTGGCTGCATGTGTCACTCTCTAACCAAGTATTTGGTTTATTTGACCATAGAACTTGTCATTTGATTCCTAATTGTATACGAGCCCAAACGTGCCCCATATGATTCTAATGAAGTCCCTTGTAAAAAAGAACAGATAGAAATACTGGTATATAGTGAAAGACATACAAACCCTTCATTTATTGGCATTCTGGGAAAGAAATGAGGTGTTCTGGGTGGTCAAAACGCTTGGATAAACAAAGGCCCATCCTTCCATAAGCATCATGTAATGCAAATCATTTTGAGATGTAACTAATATTTTTCCGACTTCTTATAAATATTCTACTGAACGTGCTTTCGTCTTTCTTGATAACTTAGACATTATGATGAGTACCAGTTATTGGACTATGCTGTAAATATGCCCTCGGGGACTAGTAAGATGGGTAGGAATGCCTGCCTCTATATTAAATGGCCATAGACTCCTGTGCTTTGTAAGTTCTGACTTGGCTGTGGTATTTTCTTTGGCCCCATGTGCTGTCGGTTTCCATGTCTCTGCGTTCCCAGTGGCGCTGGTTCTCCCAGTGGCCCCTAGGATTCTTCCCCTTCCTCGCCATCTATGATTTGCTAAGGATTGGGAATCCAATGGCCAAGCTTGTTAGAGTTTTTCGTCAAAAGTCAATTCTCTATCAAGTGAGGGTAGAGAAGCCTTTGAGCAGCCAACTGCATGGGCTTTGTGATAGCTCTTTAGTTGAGAGACCTTTTCCATCTCTTGTGGAGTTTATGGTAGTCTTCTGGAGTGGTGATCTTGCTGGAAGTGAAGTCTCCTGGGCAACAGAATCATGCTAAATAGATTGAAACGTTCACATTCCATTAAAGCACAGTGTTACTGTTCTTGATTACTTCTCTTAAAGACAAATGATACTGTGATTCTAGTTTTCTTCTATAGGGGTTGCAAGACTAGGCTTCAAGACTAGATTACTTACAGCAGTGGTGGACATAACCAATTCTTGTATTTCCTTGAATTCATTGTCTCCCTTTCAAAGCTCTTGTCTTGCAGTCAGCACTCTCTCTTCCGTCCCCACAGTGCCGTGCACGTACTGTCCATTGTTATAGTGCTTCTGCCCGTGAGTTTGGTCAGGATCCACACAGGTGCACCATGCTCCCGGAAAGCGCCATGTGCAGAAATCTGTGTTTCTCAACATCAGTGAATGAGTCGTGTGCAGGGTGACTTTCAAATCAATCCCTTTAAATAATGCGCTCCACTCGCATATTTCAAATGGCTTCCCATACTTCACCAAATTTGTAATGAAGTTTTAAGAACACTTGTCTTGTGAAAATGAGATCCATCTATCGAGTATGTGTCACAGTCAAGGTGGAAAATTGGAGTTGTTACTATGAAAGGGAGCAACTGAGCACATCTATTAATTACGGTCTTGTTTACACTTCTACAAAAACCAGGATCATTTGTTAGTTTGAACCGGGACCCCGTTCCTTCCTTAGAGACATCATTGCCTAGCTAAGTGAGAAATTAAACACTTGAATTTCACACGTGCGGGTCATTTGTTCCCATGTTGCACATGTTTCATCAGTCTGATGGAATGGCAGTTATGGTCATGTTGTGGCAGGTTTGACTCACAAATGTTTATCCTTCAAATAGAGCTAGGGACAGGAGCCAACAATGAAATTGTTAAGAGTGGCTTCCTTCTTGACAAACACTAGGCAAGCTCTGTCTTCAACAATAACAGATACACCTTTTGTTCCGTCTGTAGCATTTCACTAATATTTGCCTTTCTTGTGTGTTCTTCCTTATAGGAATCCCAACACCTGACCCCAGGATTCACCTTACAAAGTAGGTGTTTTTAAAAAATTCTACTTAGTCCAAACATTCGTGTCATCTCCTCCCCTACTTTCTTCTCTTTCCTACCTAATATCATGAAAACATGAATTGACAACAGCAAAAAGTCATATTGTGATACATCTGATTGGTTCCTTTACTTTTTCATCTGTGATTTATGACAGGATGCTATTATGTATATATATGTATATGTATATGTATATATACACACACACATATATATATGTGTATATATGTAACCGGAAGGACTGCATCTTTGAAGACCGAATTCATTCAGAGTGATCATTTGACAGTAGAAAATGTGGGTTGTAATTGTGTGTGCCCTTTCTTTTCAGAGTGGAGTGACCCGACCAGCAGAGCTTCTACGAAGTTAGTATCGCTGGAGTCGTGAGTACTTGGGTTTCCAAAGCAGGCTTCTTCAGGGGCATTTGGCCAGGAAACAGTGCCTCGCTGCTGAGCGAATCTTGTTCTCTCTCCCGCTCCTCGAAAATAGGAACCTTGGCTCATAATAATATGGGGTTCAGTTAGAGAGGAGAATGAGATTTCCCACAATAAGCGAGTAACAGTAAAAGTGAATGAGGTCACCATTAGACTCTGTAGTGAGGTAAATACAGGCTGGATTAATAATACCTGGAATATGAAAACAACTGTGATTCTTGACTAGTTGTTTGAACATTACGTAACTTCCACCACAGACCTCATTATACACGATATTCAGACACCACTGACTGGGATGGAGAAAGGGCATGTCTCAGCAGCCATGATGGGACGTGAAGTGTTGAGTGGATTGTTATGGCCAGTCAGCCTGAGACCTTGCTGTTTGCAGGTCATCTGGTGACTGTATATTAAAGACAAACAAGGACAGCCAGGAAGAGATGGAATAAGAGATTACATGACATTGGGTTCAAGTTCAGAAGCCAGGGCCCCGCGATTCTCTCGGCACGGTCTTCATTTGTTATTAATGCTAACTGAAGGAGGGGTACGGAGAAACCAATTTCCTCAGATTAACTACTGTAGATTTTGTAATATCCATTTGTCCAAGAACGTATTAAGGGAGTATTTCTCTCACAACTTCTTCCATTCCTAATAATGGAAAATGAAAGTCGACTTTTCTATGTAATAGTCACATACTTGAAAATTTTCAAAATGAAATAATTTATGACATTCAAGTGGTCTAATGGCACACTTGAAGTGAATTGCTCACCTTTTGGAAGATCACGAATAATTGCATAAAACAACTGGGAATGACTCCCAAATAGACCATGGCTCTGAGAAAGACAATGGCATTTCCATGTTCATGGTTCTGCTGAACGGCAAACCCCCCAGAGCCCTGACCCCATCGTCAGTCCTCTTGTTTGGTTTTCTGGCCTGATCTGTGCCTTCACATTCAAAGTTCAATTTTAGCAACCAAGAACTCTCATTTAAAGAGGTGAGAAAAAAATAACAAGGGGGGGAAATAAAACCATAACCCTGAATTAAGGACCAAATTATGTGGAAACATGGAAATCAAAATCATCTTTGATATTATTCATTTCAGCTTTTCCATTCATTGCATCTTGAATTGCCCTTCCCCTTGTGACTCTAGTAAACAATAGATCTTATTCTCATACTTTGCCCTTCTCCCATTAAAATGTCAGTAGAACTCATATACACACCCACACGCATGCACACACTTGAGCATTTAGGAAATCAACACAGGTTTCCAGACTTGAAAAAATATAAAAGTATTTTTCCCACTGGAAAATGATCCTACTCCTAAAGCAAGAGTATTAGGCTCCTGCTGTGAAATATGCTGATTTCCATATAGACCATAAAATTCAATATTTCAATAGTTTGTAACTAACAAATAAACTCGTCAATTGTGATTTATAGTTAGAGGCTGCCTTTCCAGAAAATAGCCCTTTATAGCACACTGGTATATTTTGTAATTCAGTAGGACTAAGGTTCTCTATGGGAAGGGTTGATAAAACTAGAAGACACTGAGTCCATTTTATGAATGAGCTGCTCTCTTTTTACCTGCTGGATCTAAAGACCAACCATTGTCCATCAGACTTGAGCTGGAATAAGTTCCCTTCTTTATGGTAGGGTGTGGGTTTAAGACAGGACAGATAGACTTATAATAATTATTTTTATTTTTAGCTTCCAAATTATTATCCACTTTGCCATTACTATCACTCTCCCCTATTTTCCTACCGTGTGCTTTTCAAGCCAGCTTCTAGGATTTTCCATGTGACAGTGTAATCCTCCAGGCAGCTAAGAACATTCTGTGTGTAGACAGCCTGCTGGTGGCTCCAGTTGGGTGGGAAACAACCCCAAAGTTGGCCCCTGCTGCAGGAGAGACACGTTCCCAAGGCCGGCAAACGTCCTGGACATGCTCCCGCCACTTACTGCAGGGAGAGAGATGAGAGTCTTGCAAAGCAGAATTCCTTAATTACTGGGATACTTTATTAGTTTTCCTCATCTTGGCTTCTCTTCCCCAGTTGATGAAATGCAGATCTTCCATTTGGGCCTGGATTGTTTGTAAGAATTGCACGCACGGGCAGCAGGTTCAAAAACTGATCCAAGTGTGTCCAAATCCAAACTGGGAACCAGCCAGGCTCCCTCTGTGTTCTTGACAGCCACGTTCTCTCTGGGCCTGACCCCAGCAGTCTGACTGGCTTTTGGAGAACCAGGTCTTGCCTCGCTCAGTAGATTTCACTTTTTCTGGGATGTCCATCCACGTGGTGGCATCCTCCCGGCTCTGTCTAGAACTCTCACTGCCTGTGAGGCAAGAGCATTAGACTGGGGGAGTTCCAAGACCTGAGTTTGCATCTTTCTCCCATGGTAGTTAGAGTACTGGAGGGAAAACACTAACCTAGAATTCAGAGAATATGAGTGTAAATCATGGGGAACTTATTTTTATTTCAAAATATACAGATAGAGCCCCCTAGGGGAAATTAAGCAAATTAATGAGCTATGTGTATACACATAAATGTACACACACAAACACTAGTCAGAATTCAAATGTAAACAGCTATACTCTGAAAAAAATGTTATACTCTTCAGTAATTAGACTTAACAACATAAATGTGCCTTTACCTTTAACCCTTAATAAGTTCTAGAGGAAAGAAGACCCTCCGCCTCTGTGAGTCTTGGAATAGGCCTCACCCAGGGCTTCTAAATCCAATGGAGTTTCTAGCCTCCTTCCAAAAAGGTCTCTCTCCCAAAAGAGGGTGGGGCATGGGCGTCTGAAGGTCAAATTGTATTTTTCAGGGCTCTAGAGTTGTGTATTTGTACAGTAATATCATATCCTTTCTGCCTCTGAAATATCCATTTATTTCCATTACGAGATTCAGGGATTGAATGTACACACCAGACATTGTGTTGCTTTTCTAGTTTCTTAATGAAGCCATTAAGAACTGATGGAGGAGAAAACTGAAACCAAACCCAAAGAACTTGGATTTTCTTTGTCGAGTTGGATTGCTTCATCTAGTTTATAACATCTTGTCAATTCCTTGTCAGTACAGTGGCTTTACAAAAATGCATGACCTTGTTGGTCTTTTATGAGCCGTCCTAAATAAGAACAGATAAGATGCATTGAGTCACCTGAGAAGCATTATCAGACAGCATCCATGTACTCAAGGGTATCCGTGTAGTCAGTCCTTGACGTCAGCTCATTTTGTGAGCACTATTGAGAAGATGGAAACTCCAAGTATCCAGTGCCTTTGTTATACTTGGTTGTTAGCATCTGGACCCTGTCCAGTTGGAAACCCTCCAGACCCCCTTTTAATCAAGCAGCTCCTATGTTTTAAGCCATGCTCTCTCGAATGCCTGGATGGTTTCCATAAAAGCCTAATATGAAGGCAGATGTAGCCATAATGCTGTTCTTGCCATAAAACCAGTTCTTTCACTACGGTATTAGCTACAGGTTTTCAAACATCCCAGCCATGGACCCGGAGACTTGATGAAAGGCCTTGCAGAGACAGACTAGTTGTGGCCAGTCTCCATTCCCCTGTGGGTGATGGATATGTATGCCACATGAATGGATCCTTGAAGGTAGCACTATTTAGGAGGAAAAGGAAACATTTTGGCTACGAGGGCACAGAAGGGCCGAGTTACACTGCTCCTTGGCAGGCAAGCCTGAAGGCAGGCCTCTTCCCCACCACCACGCTGCCCTTGCTCATGGGCTCTCGTGAGTTCAGGGATTTGGAACACCCCATTTGGCATGTTGAATGTGGAAGACTCGGACAGCTGAAGTTTGTAGGAAGGAGGCCCACAGTAAATTATACCCAAACCCGGTAAAATTGCTCTATTTTTTTTTAAAGATTTTATTTATTTATTTGAGAGACAGAGCGAATGAGAGAGAGAGAGCACATGAGGGGGGGAGGGTCAGAGGGAGAAGCAGACTCCCTGCCGAGCAGGGAGCCTGAAGCGGGACTCGATCCAGGGACTCCAGGATCATGACCCGAGCCGAAGGCTGTCGCTTAACCAACTGAGCCGCCCAAAATTGCTTTAAATAAAGCATGATTTCTAAACTCTGTGTGGTAGGAAGAGTTCCTTACCACAGAGACTAGAAAGACTACTAGAATGTTTTCCAGTTTATTATAACCAATAACAAGCATTACATTATTTCTCAGATGAATTCTCAATTTTTTAACCCCCCCCAAAATAACTCTCACATTCATTACAACTCTGACCATCCCACCTAAAATTTTCTCATTGAAAATGTTTCTTTCAAGAATCTGATTTGAGATTCGAGGACTGCCAGGGCTTCTTGCGGAGCACTAACCCACGTCTCTAGCAATTTCATATACTCTTCCATAAGTAGATGTTTGGTCTGCCTTTTCGATACAATTCTGGTAGTGAAGCAACTGTGTCATGAGGCAGGGGGAAGGGGGCTGTGATTTTCTTAATCGGATGAATTCTTAATCAGAATACGTGATTTGGCACTTGGAGTTTGGACATGCTATTGAGGAGTGCTATTACGCACGCCTGGCTCAACTCTCCTGATGCCCCGGTCATCTTGACGGCTTTCCCTAGTTGTAGCCATTCTGGTTTTCAGGCCGAGACGTCTGCCAACTCTTGCTTTGTGTAGACCCTGCCTCTCGGAGCTTGCCAACTTTTCCTAAGGACTTAATATTTTTTTGGATGTTCTCCACCACATCGGGGACAGCCACCTGGGAGCAGAGAAAACAAAATTTGGCAGCCTGTTCAAGCTGTGAATTAAAGGTAATTCACAGTTTGAAATGAATCAGCATGAGGTCCTTAAGAAGAGTAATCAGACATCAAGAGGATTTTATTTTGAGGATTGTATATTGGCTAATGTGACAACAAGCAATATTGGCATTTGGAATGTTCACATCAAGAAGCGCTGAAGCTGCTGGTGCTTG